GCGTGCTGCCTGCATGAGCGCAGCTCTAGCCCGGGGCGGCCCAGGCGGCGGCGCCGGAGCCCAAGGCAGCTGGACGTGTGGAGGAGCGCGGAGCCGGATCCCCACAGGACGATTGTGACTCTCTGGAACGGGGTGCTCTGCAAAGACCAGGACCTGCTTCTTTTGAATCTCCCGGCATCCTGGCGAGAGGAACCCTCTTGGTATTTTCTAACCCAACTCGTGGATTCGAACGTGGCTCCTCTCCGAGCGCAGCCGCTGATTCCTAAGACCCCAGCCCTGGCGGTGGCCGCCGCGCACACCCTCAGAAGACTCGTTGGGGCAGGAGCACTAGGGTCTCTCAGTGCGCCGCGGCAGGGCCGAAGGTTTCTTTGGAGGAGGGTCCCAGGAGAGCCTGTTTGGGATTTACGGTGAAGCATGGAGGAGAATGATCCCAAGCCCAGCGAAGCGGCGGCGGCGGCGGCAGAGGGGCAGCGTGAGTCCAGCCCTAGCGGCGGCTCAGGCGGCGGCGGTAGCAGCCCCAGCGACTCTGATACCGGCCGCCGGCGGGCTCTGATGTTGCCCGCGGTCTTGCAGGCGCCAGGCAATCACCAGCACCCGCACCGCATCACCAACTTCTTCATCGACAATATCCTACGGCCAGAGTTCGGCCGGCGAAAGGATGCGGGGACGAGCTGCGTGGGCGTGGGCGGAGGAAGAGTCGGCGGATCCGGCAACGAAGGCGGCGCGGGAGGCGCGGAGGGAGTCGGCGGCTCGGGCGGCGCAGAGCAGCTCCTGGGAAGCGGCACCAGGGAGTCCCGGCAAAACCCGCCCTGCGCGCCGGGCGCCGGAGGGCCGCTACCCACTAGTGGCGGCGACTCCCCGGGTGATGGAGAAGGCGGCTCCAAGACGCTCTCGCTGCACGGTGGCGCCAAGAAAAGCGGCGACCCCGGAGGCTCCCTGGACGGGGCGCTAAAGTCCCGAGGCTTAGGCGGCGGCGACCTGTCGGTGAGCTCAGACTCGGACAGCTCTCAGGCCAGCGCCAACCTGGGCACGCAGCCCATGCTCTGGCCGGCCTGGGTCTACTGCACGCGCTACTCCGACCGGCCTTCTTCAGGTAAGCCTGTGAGACTCGGTGCCCCAGCCGGTCCTGGGGAGACCAGCGGGATGCAGGGGCGGCCCTGGCGAGGAGACTTACCCTCCTCTCCATACACATGCCCAGCGACACTTCGTGCGGTTCAGGCTGGCCTGGGCAGCGGCCAGGCAGCGGGAACAGGCTTGATTCCAAATAGACTCCCTTAGGATGGTAGAAGCTAAAGAGGCCTTCAGTTTTTCTTCCCACCTCCTCTCTAGACCCCCAGCCCCCGCAAATCCAAGTTGCTCCATGTTCCCCCAAATTGATGGGAACAGGGGTAGCTGAAAGACAGGCCCAGAGGGCCGCACTCTCAACCCCTTCCCCAGGTTCCAACTCTGTCCCAATCAGGACGTCCCAGCCACCCCCAGTGACCCCAGGTGTAGTCACAGAAGAAAGGGCTCCTCCTAATTCGGTGCCTTCTGCCTAGGCTGACCAGGGGAGAGGAAGAAGGACATGCTGAGGGAAGGATGAAAACAGGGGCGCCCTCTCCCCTTTGCTGGCCCTTATTTGCCATCTGCCTTCCCACCCAGAGCAGGGAAACACAACTGTCCCCAACTATGTGGCATCTGTGATTGCCTCAAAGTGGGGACCTTCTCAGAGGGTTTCCTGGCTCTGCCAGGAGTGGGAAAGATACAACGTTAGAGGGTGTGCAGAGGTATGGGATATAGTTTTTCATAGAGCCGTTCGATTTAAAAAAGCTAAGTCCTCTTCCTTGTACAAATCATTAGCTGCATTGCATGCGGGTATTGGGCTGGGAAGTACCATCAGGAGAGGGCTCCATTTGTCCCGAGCTGGCAGCAGAACTGCTCTGCACCCAACCCTCAACTGTTTTGCAGGAGTCCTTTATCCAAATCTCAGGAAGACTTGGTCACCCTTCAGCTCCTTCCCGAAGAAATGTGTATGTGTATGTTTTTTTGATTAAATCCCAAATTTCTCCAGCTAGACCTGAAATTTGCTCCATTGTTCTCGCCTCCCTCCTTTGTTAATATTTAATTAACATATAGGCTCACAATGTCGGTCGGCCAGGAGCCGGCCCGGGCTTTGTGCAACGCCCGCGCAGGATCCCTGCCGGGCCAGGCCTGGGCGGCCAGCGGAGCGACCCCAATCGCTGGCTTTGCTGGGCTTGAACAATCCCGCCTGCCTTCCCACCCTTCCAGGAACGTTTCTGTTCCTGGGTGCTTAAAAAGAAGGGACTGAGAGGGGGCTTTTGCAGAGGTTTGGTTCTATTTCTAGGAATCCGTGTTTGTCTTTTGAAAGAAAAATCAAGACAGAAAAGGGAACTAAAAATTGTGATTTTTTAAGGAGATTTTCTTTTCACAAAACACTGTCTTTTCGAGACTGTTTTGTGTAGGCGACAATCGCAACTCGACCAGAGGAGTTTGGGGGACAGGAAGTGTGCTTTGGGAGGTGAGAGGAGAAATGGAACCCCAGAACTCGATCCAGGAAAGCGATGCTGGGTCGGTGGAGGCGGCGCGGGGTCTCCCGAGGCGCTCCTGCAGTCTCCCATTCTTCTCGCCCCTTCAGGGGCCCTTCGGGCTGGGCTTTCCTCCCTGGATCCGCACCCCCATCAAAGCCAGAGCAGAGCCCTCGCCCGCCCTCCAGGAAAGTGGGACAGTGATGGGCAGATGGTGCGGGTGTGGGTGGGTTTTACAACTAACTGGGAGTTGGTGAACCGCCCTCGGCTGGCTTCCCTCTTCTGCCCAGAGTCCCCTCTTTGGGTTTTGCCTCCTGGAGAGAGTGCATGGCTCCCGCGGCAGAGAGGGAGTTCTTCTGCCCACCTTGAGTTTCCAGCTGGTGCCTGACTGGGGTGGGCCCTGCTTGCCCTGTACACTCTCCAACTCTGCCAAGGTGCAGTCCTAGCTGCCTCTTAGACTGTGCCTCTGCTGCACAGACGGGGCACTTCCTGGCCCTGAGCAGAGCCGGGGCTGCCCTCTCCAGCCTCTTCCTGCAGAGGAAGGGGTCTCCAAAGTTGACTCATAAGCCTCTCAGACGGAGGAATCCACCCGAAGGCCACCACTTCCACCAGTGGCCTAGCCGACCTTGCCCTCCAGAGGCACCTCTGAGTTGAGCTTCCTGGCGCCCAGGGAAAGAAACCACTTCAGCTGCTTCCCTTTTCTCTTGTCACCCTCTACCTCCAATGGCCAGGTCTGGGTACCTTGCCTCCACCCACCACCCCTCCCTAAAGGGCGACAACTCTGTGGGAGGAATGGGTGGGATCAGGTCAGAAGTTGGAACCTGCTCAAGGTCAGCTGTGCCCTCTGTACCCCGGGTCTGAAGGGATGAGGATGACAGGTCATCCTGGTGGTGAGCACCCATGCAGAGGCCAGGCACGCTCTCCTGGACAGGGCACTGGGGAGAACTGCAGTGGATGAAGAAGGAGCTGCCAGGGCCTCGGTGTTCCTTTCCCTCCCAGGAAAGCATGCGCTGGTCCCTGTGGTCCTGTAAGGGGAGAGTGAACTCTGGTGGGCCCTAGGGATAGTGGGATAGTGGCATAGGGGGCTCCTCCTGTTCTCAGGAGCGTCCTGCCCCTGGCACCCTGTGAGGTGTTCCCATTTTTCTCTGCATGCCTCACCCTCTTTTCTCAATCTTAACCCCTCACCCCTCATACCTGCCCCACCCTTTATTCCTGGTGTGAGATTCAGAAAGGACTGGGGGTTAGGGGAGTGGAGAGACAATTCGGGCGTTTTGCTTTCCTCTGGAAGCCTCAGTTTGTGATGGCCTTTCCTTCCACCCCACACCCACACCTGCCTCCTCCCTGCAGAGGTCCCTCGCTGCCTGTACTCTGGCTGCTCAACCTTGAGGCCCTGGGCCAGTCACTTCCTTTCCTCTGGGGATTCTTTGGGCCCTCTCCTGGGCTGCTTGGGTGCTTTACGGCTGGGTGAGGACATAGGTCGCTACCGACTGACCATAACCTCTTCTCTCTGTCCTGCAAACCTACCCAGGTCCCAGGTCTCGAAAACCAAAGAAGAAGAACCCCAACAAAGAGGACAAGCGGCCCAGGACGGCCTTCACGGCTGAGCAGCTGCAGAGGCTCAAGGCGGAGTTCCAGACCAACAGGTACCTGACGGAGCAGCGGCGCCAGAGCCTGGCGCAGGAACTCAGCCTCAACGAGTCTCAGATCAAGATCTGGTTCCAGAACAAGCGCGCCAAGATCAAGAAGGCCACGGGCAACAAGAACACACTGGCCGTGCACCTCATGGCCCAGGGGCTGTACAACCACTCCACGGCGGCTAAGGAGGGCAAGTCGGACAGCGAGTAGGGTGGCGGGCGGCGCCAGGGCAGGTCTCAGGCCGCAAAAACAATGCAATAATTTAAAATCCTAAATAAAGGGCCAGTGTATAAAGATTATACCAGCATTAATAGTAAAAATATTGTGTATTAGGTATGGTACTGCAATATTCTATGTATATATAATTTACAGGTGGTGTAAAATCCAAAATATCTGACTATAAAGTATTTTTTGAGTTTTTTGTGTTTACGAGATTATGCTAATTTTATGATTTTTTTTTTTTTTTGCAAAGGGGGCTGCTTAGGGCTTCATCTTTTTTAATCCCCTAAGCTCCGTTATGGGACATCAGACACTTTTATTATTATTATTATTTCAAAAGAAGAAGAAATTAAAACAACTTGCTGAAGTCCAAAGATTTTTATTGCTGCATTTCACACGACTGTGAACCGAATAAATAGCTCCTATTTGGTCTATGAGTTCTGCCACTTTGTTTGTGTTGGCTTGATGAGGCCCCAAACTCCGAGCCTGGGTCAGCACCTCAGGCCCTCTCCTCTCCTGGCTGGGAGAGGAGATGCCCAGGGTCTTTGGACAGTTCTAGGTCTCAGCCAAGAGAATCTGCCCCTGGGTGACAGGAGGGCCTGCTCCCAGCCTGGCGGCAGCCTCCCAGGGTGCCTCTCCTCACCCGCCTCCTGAGGTCTCTCTCCCCTGCCTCCTCTGAGGCACAGCGCTCGCTCTCCTCAGTGCGTACATGTACTTCTGTCGGCGTCTGTGTTGCTGTCCTGTCTGTCCCTTGTCCCACCGCAACCCTGTGGCAAGTCTCAGGGCCAACTCTCCAGCCCCAGGCCCTCAGTGAAGCTTCCCGCCCGCTGCATTGGCAAGTCCCGGCCCTGAAACCAGACCAGGTCCCTGTGGACGCACGCGCGGCCAGGGAGTTGGCTGCCTTCTTGTCCTTTTTCTTTCCTCTTTTTTCTTTTCCGTTTTTCTTTGGAGTGCCCACTTTGGCTAAAGTGAACATTTTTCCAAGATAGGTGGATGGGCATGTGTGCATATTTGTGTCTGCATGTGTCTGCACACACCAGGCATGTGTAGGGCCGGTGGTTTGGGAACCTGTGGCTATGCTGGCTTTCAAAGGAACTAAGAACATTCCAGGATCTGGAGGAAGGAGGAAAGTGTGTAAATAACCATTCCCTATCATGTTTTGTCTTTTTTTTTTTTAAAAAAGAAAATATACATTTTATTTTTTGAAGGTGTGGTACAGTGTAAATTAAATATATTCAATATATTCCCCACCAGGCACATATATATATATATAAACAAACACATTATATATAAGTCCACACTGTCTTCTGTTTGTTTTAGGAAAAGGTGTCCAAATGTCCATCGGGGCCAGGAGGGACAGCCCAGGGTTGTGCACATGGCCAAGCTGGGGTCAGGCTGCCTCCCTGAGGACTAGGGGTGGACTCCTCTCTTTGCCTTAAGCCTCTTTATTTCACTGCGACAATAGTTTCATTTTGTACATAATAGTGTAAACCTTTTTGAAAAGGAAACTATAAAAACAAGAGTTGTAATTTAAAATTCTGTGAATAACCATCTGCTGCTTAGGAAACTCAATGAGATGACATGCCTTTTTAAGCAGGAATTAATTTTTTTTTTTAGTTTATGAAATGTGCATTTTACAGTTTCAGTATCAAATATTTATAATCTTATAAGAAATGAATGTTTCTATTTACAACTGTGGTTATCAAAATTGTGAACATTTCCACCCCCGCATTTTTGTGTGTTTAAATTCTTGAAAGTTACATTAAATAAAGAGAAACACCTCTTTATTATAAAGTATTGGTGGTCCAAGCTGGAATGATGCTTTTCCTCAGTGTGTTCTGAATTAAGGGGAAGGGCCCTGGGCAACTTCCCAGAAGCTCAGGTGCTCCTGACCTTTGCTCCAGGCGGAGTGGGTTCAGGGCTTACTGCAACAGCAGCATTATTTTTTAATGACGTTTTTAATACCTCACATGTGAGCACAGAACCATGAGAATTATGTCCACATTTCATCACAAGGAAGAGTTGCTGGAAAATATAACTGCTGTTCCATTGACTGAATTTTTTCAATCCTGCAAAGTTCAACAGGTTCTGAGTTCCTTCTCTGGCTGCTCAGTGGCGGGACTGAAGCGCCTGCGTGTGTGTGCAGGAAGGACTGACGATCGATCCACGTGGTACAGAGGCTCCTCAGTGCCATTTTTGTTTTCCTTTTTTTTTTCCTCCCTAAAGCAAATGGGGTTATGTACATCATAAGCAGAATCGGGGAAAGGACTGCTTTCCGGTGCTGACCCTCGGCCTGGAGGGAGGTGTTCCAAGTGATCTGAGGGCCTGTGGTTCAAGGCCCCACCTGCTGTATTTCCAAACTTCTTGGCTTGAGAAAGAAAAAGTTTTCTTCTCCCAGTAAGAGAAACTCAGAGGCCCTTGAGGATCGGCTGTTGCCAAGGGCGACCTTTTAGGCGTTTTTTATTTGGCGCCTGCCGGTAGGCCACTGAGCTCCCCAGGCGGACACTGGGCTGCAGCCAGCCGGGCGGGCGGCGCCGTTGGAAGAGGCCTGCGGGCGGTAGCAGGCGGCTCCTGGGACAGGCACAGAAGCGTCGAGGGAGAGAGCAGGGGCCCACGCCAAGGCTGAGAATCCTGGCTACTCCAGCCTCAGGAGAACGCCAGGGTCACCACCCAGGGGCCAGAGCATGCAGGACCCCACCCGAGACCCTGACTTCTTCATGTCTCTGAGGGTTTTTAGGTTAAAGACAAAAGCACCAGCAGACTTCTGTTGCCCTCTCGGCCTCCGTCTCATTTTAATAAAAAGATGAAATAGTAGCACGAAGCCATCTTTTTATTTTAATTTGTTTTAAAATCCTAACACCCGTGAGTTGCGATGTACAGCTTTGTGGGCGTAACGAGTTCCCCTGTTCCCAGAGGACTTCATGCAAACAGGCTCACAGTGACATGGGAAGTTTTCTTTCATGGCTCTGATAGGGGACCTGAACTGAATGAGTCCTCAAATTCTTGAAACGCTGAGTGGGATTCTCTGCTCTGACGGGTTACTTTTAAATTTCAACAGTGTGTGACCTAAGCCCTCCTGGAGAACCCTGCTGGGCCACCATCAGCTCCCCTGGGGCTTTGCGACCAGCATCCAGCCTGCAGGGGCAGGGGATGAGGCTCCTTCCTGAGGTCCTGCAGGCTTGGGTTCCGCCCAGGACCCAGGAGTGCTTGGGTCTGGATCCAGAATGCATACTTGAGCATCTGCGGAGCCCAGCAACTGGGGAGTTTCAGGAGGCGGGTTTCCAAGGGTGTGAAAACAAAAGCACCTTCAAGAAGTCCTTGCTCCTTTGAACCGAAGGGCTGCCTGCCTGGGGCCTGGCTGGGTCCCGACCAGGCCCAGGCAGAACTGAGTCCACAGCCCTCCTTAACTCAGCAGAGACTAGGCTGGAGCCTGGGGCCCTAGCCCAGGAAGATGAGCGGTGGTTGCCCAGGCCTGTTAGCAGGCGCCCTGGGACGGTGCCACCCAGAGGGTCGTGCAGGGCTCCTTGGCACTCAGATGCCCTTTCTTTTCCCTCTGACACTGTGAGTAGGTCTGACCCCCCAGGCTGGAGTTAGGATCCGGGTTCAGTTTGGCCATGGCCTTCTGGAGTGGACCAGTCTTGCACTTTCTTCAAAACAGGGGAGGGAAAGAGCCGCCATCTCAGCTTGCTCAGCAAGAGGGCTCTAACTCTTTGCCTCCATTGAGTGAAAAATGCGCCACGACGGGAGTTCAGATCTCACCACACAGGTGTGCCAGGGCTCACAAAGGTGTGCCAGGCGACAGCAAACACCCAGACGCTGTGTACACCGAGGGTGGGCTGGGAGGCCGCATTTTTTTTTTCTGTCTCTCGCGGGTTTCATATCCGACTTCTTGGTCTCTACTCTCCTAGGCAGTTCTTCAAGCGCCCCTGGGAGGGTTCCGGCTCCACCGAACACTGCAGCCTGCCGGATGGGGCCGCCGGGAGCTGGGAGGTTAATAACGACTGACCACAAAGAGCCTCTGCGAAATTCCGAAGCACGCCCGCCAGGAGAGGCAGAAATCGCCCTGGGGACGCCCCCTAGGCACACTAGACTCACCCCGCAACCGCAACCCGCGGGGCCCTGGGAGCCGGCAGCCCCTCTCTGCAGATCTCGGTGTCACCTCAGAGGGGGCCTAACTCTGTCTAGACCTTGAAGGAAGGAAGGCCACCGCGAGGTGGGGACGCGAAGCCGCCAGCTCGGGCTCGTGCGCACCGCGAGCGGCCACGTTCTCATGAAGGATCTCAGGTTCCTCATTAGACTTGTGCTGCCTGGCCACGGGAAAGAGAAGTCCATTCTTGAGACCGCTTGAAATGTGATAATATTCATTAAAGCAGCCCCTAATTATGCGATTTAATCAAGCGTGGTGGGCACACGCTCCTGACTCTACTCGGGGAGGAAAACGACGATGCTGTTATGATTATTGCTGTTGTTGGTAACGTCCTCGCGCTGGCCGCGGGGATGACAGCCAGCTCTTCGGCTGGGGCCCAGGCACCTCAGAGGAATTCGGGGAGAGCTCCACTGGGCTCCTCCGAAAGGGTCCGCAGTCGCGGGGAACAGGTGAGCCCAGGCCCAGGCCTGCGCCAGGCCCCAGCGGCCCCGGGGAGGGGAGGGCTTTCCACCGAGTTTCGGGACCCGGTTCCCGGGCCGCCCGCGGGGCTTTCTGCGAAGGCGGAACGTCAGGTCCGGAGCCCGGGACCCGCCCATCGGCTGTCCCGCCCCCTCCTGCGCCGACTCTGCGCACGGCCGGGAGCAGAAACAAAGAGTCTCCGAGCGGTGTCTCCCAGGCTGCCTTTTCACCCGCAGCCTGGAAGGCGTCCCAGAGAGGCCCCGGCCTCCCTGAGCCCGGGGGAGACAGGAGCTGCAGACCCGGGGGGCCTGCGTGGCCCCGGCCCCCCGTTCCCCGTCGTGCAGGGGGGGCTGGGTGGGAACGCAGGCGGGAGGGACCCTGTCCTAGCCCAGGGTGCTCGTGGGCCGAGGAACGGCGAGGATCCCTGTTGGCACCGACGGTCTGGAAGAAATGGGGCGGGCCGCGGACTGACCCATCTGTCGGGACTGAAACTTGGCCGCTCGGTCCCGGCGCGCGCTGCCTGCGGAAGGGGCCGCCTATCTCCTTTCAGCGAGCGCCTTCGGGGTTCTCGCCTCCCGCCAAGCCCTTTGTCTAGAAGGGGACTGTCAGGCTCTGTCATCGTGGTTTTCCCTCCTCCTTTCTTCAACCTCTACCCCCTCCACCAACTTTCCTTTCTTCCTCTCCCTTTTCTTTCCTCTTTGGATGGGTAATCACAGGCTCCAGCTGCCAAGCGCCTGCAAGGAGTTGCTGCCCGGTTGCTGTGTGTGTGTGTCGCCCCTCCCGGCAGCAGACTGGCGCTTCTCACCAACTTCTCCAGGACTTCCTGCTCTCGGCCTCAGTTAGGAAGCCCTGGGATGGTGCATCTGAGTTTTCTCTTTAGGCCGGAACTTTGTCTCATGGGTTTTGTTTGTTTGTTTATAGCTTTGTTTCCCTCAACGATAGGTGAATTCTGAAAGCTGGCCTTTCTTGAGATCCGTGCAATAAGTAAAAGAGCAGAGCCACCTGCCCTTTGCAGAATTCTGCTCCTTCCAGGGCTGGTATTATTACACACCCCCCCCAATTTTGTTATTGTGGTTGAATACACACAAAAAGGTTTACCATTTTAACCACTACAACTGTACGCATCACATAACCAAAATGCCACAGCGGTCATTCCCACCATCATCTCCATTAGTCTTTTCATCTTGTAAAACTGAAACTCTGTCCCTTCTAAACAATAGCTTCCCTTTTTTTCCCCTTCCCACCCCCAGCTACTGGCAACCATTCTCCTACATTCTGTCTCTGTGATTTTGACTACTCCAGGCACTTCTTACAGTAAGTTCCACTACAGCATTACTTCAAGGAAGTTCCTTAATAAAGCATTTCCGTTACAATGGAAAGGCTCATCTTGCCTTCCAATGCTAAAACAACCAGATGAGCACTGGGAGCTCCCAGTCACCCAAATGAATATGGAATGGGCTCACTTTCTGACGTCCATCTGTTTAGGGAAAGTCAGAGCCTTTGAAGAAACATCAGGATGAGCTCATTTTCCAACACTCACAGGCTCTCTGTCTCACATATTGGCCCACCAGCCATTGAGTTTCATTTTTTGTTTGTTTTGTTTGTGTGTGTGTTTGTGTGTGTGTGTAAATACTTCTATAACATCCCTTAACATTGAAAGAAGTATGGTTCAGTGGAAAATACAGTTTTGACAACAAACAGCCCTGTGTTCAAATCGCAGCTCCAATCTCTCTCCCCAGTGTGTTATTGACTCCCAGGGAGCCCAGCCATTCTTCTCTCAAAGAGAAAGAACATCTATCTAATGGGTTTCCTGCAAAGGCTTTTTGTGAGGTAATGAAGACAAAGGCCTGACTTTGAATGGGGCCCAGCAAGTGGGAAGCTTAACACTGCTTGCCTGAGCCTGTGGACTTGCTTAGCGCCCGTGCCTCCAAGAACAGGTGCCCTTGTGCGGCAGGCACACACACCTTGCTTGCTTCTGCCAACCAGCGAGGTCTCTGTGCAATTGTTTGGAAAAAGGCAGAGAAAAGGTGAGAGGCAATATCTGCATGGCAATAGAGAGCAGGGCAGAGGTGGTGAGTGAGGGAGAGTAGAAAACTTACTACCGGAAGAATTTCAGGACTAACTTCTTCTAACACTCTCCAGAATCACTGTCCCCTCCCCCTAAATCGATCCCTGTGCTTTGTGGATGCAGGTGCAAACATTTGCACCC